TATTCTGAAAGAGTCTTTCGATGAAACCGGAGAGAAAGTCTCTGTATAATCAATGCCTTCCTTTTGAGTATAGCCTTTAGCCACAAGACGCGCCTTATACCTCTCCACATTACCGTTTGCATCCCGCTTGGTTTTAAAAATCCATTTACAACCAATTGGTTTTGCACCTTCTGGCAATGGGACAAGTTCCCAAACCTTATTGTCTTGCATAGACTTATACTCTTCATTCATGGCATCAATCCACTGTTGAGAGTTAGAACTTTTCATGGCCTGAGAGAAGTTGATTGGATCATCTTCTAACATTCCACTACTTTCCTCATGTTCTTGGAGAAATACAATATAATCATCCGGAATAGCATTTCTCCTTTCTCTCGTGGATCTCCTTAATGGCACTGGTTCTTGAGGTTGTTGAGTTTGTTCTTCTGGAACAGGGAGTTGTTCAACATTATCATCTTGAGGTTCCGGATTTACTTCTTGAGCAACAACAGGTATAGGAACCTGAATATTGTCAAAAGTAACTGTATGGATTGGATCTGAAGCCAATTCCTCCTCAAAACTAATGTCTCTAACCTTATTTCTCCCCCCAAACTCAACATCCTCAAAGAATGTTGCTGTTCCCGTCTCAAAAATATTCCTTATAGTGGGATCATAAAACTTATAGCCCCTAGAGCGATCAGGGTACCCAATAAAGTAGCTGCTAACTGTTTTGGAGTCCAATTTCTTTTCATTTGGCCTATAAGGCCTTGCCTCAGCTGGACATCCCCAAATATGTAAATGCTTTAAACTGGGCTTTCGACCAGTCCAAAGCTCATAAGGTGTTTTAGCAACTGCTTTACTTGGTACTCTATTCAGAATGTAAGCTGCTGTCTTAAGTGCTTCTCCCCAGAGTGACTCTGGTAAAGAAGAATGAGCAATCATACTTCTTACCATATCCTTAAGAGTCCTGTTTCGTCTTTCAGCTACACCATTCATGCTAGGTGAACCCGGCATAGTGTACTGTGGGACGATACCGCATTCCTCTAGGTATCTAGCAAATGGTCCTGGACGTTGTTCACCTGAACCATCATATCTACCGTAGTACTCACCACCACGATCAGATCTGACGGTTTTAATTCTTCTGTTGAGTTGATTCTCAACTTCAGCTTTATAGGCTTTGAACATGTCCAGAGACTCAGATTTTTCATGAATAAGATATAGGTGCCCATAACGTGAGTAATCGTCTATGAATGATATAAAATATTGTTGACCATTCCAGGATTCCGTAGGGAATGGCCCACAAATATCCGTATGTATCAATTCTAAGACATCCGAAGATCTGTTGGCACCTAATCTCTTCACTTTGGTCTGTTTTCCCTTGATACATTCAACACATACGTCGAAGTCCGAAAAATCAAGGGAATCCAAAATGCCATCAGACACAAGACGCTCAACTCTACCTTTTGAGATATGACCTAAGCGCTTATGCCATAATGTCGCCGAATTTTCCTTATTTAATTTACGCTTAGTACCACGTGATTCCACATGCAAGGATTCATTGTAAGAAGCAATTGTATCAAGCAAATATAGGTTGTCATAAATACTCAAGTAACCGGTTCCCACAACATTTGAATTAAAAGATAAACTGAATTGACTGTTTCCAAATGAACAAGAATAACCTGATTTGTCCAATACAGAAACAGAAACCAAATTCCGTCTAAAAGACGGTACTACAAAAGTATCTTTTAAATCCAAATAATAACCAGTTCCTAACAACAACCTAAAGTGCCCAATTGCTTCCACATCTACCGATTGTCCGTCGCCCACAAAGATGTGTCTTTCAACATCACTTGGCTTTCGGTAGCTCAGGCAACCCTGCATAGAAACACTTATGTGAGTAGTAGCACCAGAGTCTAACCACCAAGTGTTTCTAGGTACTGAAGCTAAATTAACCTCAGAACAGACCAAAGCAAGGAACGTACCCTTATTATCACGCCAGGCGTGATATTTTGTACAGTCCTTCTTTACATGTCCAGGCTTCTTACAGAAGAAACAACCCTGATTATCCTTATGTTGTTTCTTCTCAACTGGACCCTTAGCAGCTTCCTTATCATTCTTCCTTTTCTTGCCCTTATCCTTAGAGGCATAGGCCAAATGAGCACTTTCTGTCTTATCTTGCTTCAACCTGTCTTCTTCTTGCACACAGTATGAAATGAGCTCATTTAGAGTCCATTTCTCCTTTTGACAGTTATAACTGACCTTAAATTGGTTAAACTGTGCAGGAAGAGACAACAAAACCAGATGCACTAATAACTCGTCACAAAGATCGAGTTTAAGTGCCTTAAGCTTTGAAGCAATATGAGACATTTCCATAATGTACTCCCTGATATTTCCTTTGCCCTTATACTTCATTGAAATCAAGCGAGCTAAAAGCGTGCTTGTTTCTACCTTATCGTTTTTCGCAAAACGCTTCTCAATTTCGGCAAGGAAATCTTTAGCCTTAGTAATCCCTTCGGATTCTATGCCCCTGAAGGCTTCCGGAACGCCGCGCTTAATGATCATAAGACTCATGCGATTTGAACGCTCCCACTTCTCATGCTCCTTCTTTGCATCAGGAGTGCTATCCGCATTGAGAGGTTGGGGTTGTTCAGTTCTTAATGCATAGTCAAGATCCATGCAGCCAAGAACAATTAATATGTTCTCTTTCCAAACCTTGAAGTTTGTCCCATTTAGCATGGGAATTGAGTTGATGTTAGCAGAAATTGTTGCAGCAGATGCATTAGCTGAAATAAAACAAAAATGCTCACATCAATAACCATAATCAATAAAATTCAAATAATGACAATCCCCATCCAAGATACCGGCACAACATTAATATCAAGTCTTTGGACAGTAATATTAACTTGTAAGTGATACCTTGTTGCAATGATCAAACATTGACAATAACTCATGTCAAATAATGAAACTATCTTTGGATCGATTCATTATTCACATGTAAACCTTATAATTGTCACACGCTTATCATCGCAGATGTGTATACAGTCTAAATAAATATTAACCTTCCTTTGGGTCGATTAAATATTTACACGAAAGCATACACACAAATATCTCATATTCCTCATGAACAATCTACACAAGAGAGGTTACTTTGGCAACTTCTTGTTTTAATTAATCAATTGGAGTGAGAGACAACTTTAATACCTTAGTGTCATAATATTTGAATTAAATAATTGATTAAAAACCGAATTAGATTTAAATTAAAAAATTTAAATCAACTGAATTTCCAAAAACTTAATTGGGGTCTTCACAGCTTAATTAGGGCCCATACTTAATTGAATAAATTAAGTATACCAAAGTGGACCCATGAAAAGCCGAGGCTTAACCATAATGAACACGAAGTTCCCTTAACTTCGAACGCGAGGTTCGACTGTATTGAGTACGAGACTCACTTAAGCACGAACGTGAGGTTCGTTTGAGAACGAACGCGAGGTCCGTTAAAAAAGATGAACGCGAGGTTCGTGAATGAACGCGAGGTTCATGAACGAACGCGAGGTTCGTTAAAAAAGATGAACGCGAGGTTCGACTGAAGCACGAACGCGAGGTTCGACTGAAGCACGAACGCGAGGTTCGACTGAAGTACGAACGCGAGGTTCGTCCGAAGTACGAACGCGAGGTTCGTCCGAAGTACGAACGCGAGGTTCGTCCGAAGTACGAACGCGAGGCTCGTCCGAAGTACGAACGCGAGGTTCGTCCGAAGTACGAACGCGAGGCTCGTCTAAAGTACGAACGCGAGGCTCGTCTGAAGTATGAACGCGAGGTTCGTCTTAGAACGAACGCGAGGTTCGTTAAAATTGAGCTTGACGCTCACCTGAGTTGAACGCGAGGTTCACCTTAGAACGAACGCGAGGTTCCTTAAAATTAAGCTTGACGCTCACCTGAGTTGAACGCGAGGTTCACCTTAGAACGAACGCGAGGTTCGTTGAGCGCGAAGCTCGGTTAAAATTGAACGAACGCGAGGTTCGTTTGAGGTAACCACCTCCTTAATTTTCGCCATGAACCCTTAGGGTTTCAAATTGAAACCGCCGTCGACAAACCCAAAAATCTTTGATTTTTTATTTTCAAAACAGATCCAGAATTGGAAAAAATTGAAGAAAAAATCAAAGAAAAATCCGAAAAAAACTTTACTGTTCATCCGAAAAAAACTTTACTGTTCATCCGAAAAAAATTTCGCTACTGTTCACCGAACATTACTGTTCATCCGAGAACAAAACTGAATCTTTAACCAGAGATTTAACATTACTGTTCATCCGAGAACAAAACTGAATCTTTAACCAGAGATTTAAGATCAAAAAACCCAATAAAACTTAAATCCCTAAGAATTAATCAAGGTGGCTCTGATACCACTTGTTAGATCTAAACCAAAACTTGAGATCTAAAACCATATAGCCATGGTTAATTCAAAGAGATTTACAAGAATCTAAAAGAGCGGAAGCTTATACCTGAATCCATAGAAGAAATCTTGATTTGGGTTTTTTGATGATCTTCTAACCTTAGGGTTCCTCTAAATCCGAATTTCTCTTTCTAGATGGGGGTGAAGAGAATTAGAGAATGTAACCCTAGGTTAGGGACCATAACCCCTTATTTATAGATGTTGTACTTTTGTAATTTATCCCCTCAATAAATCACAATTACAACCTAGTATCTGCACATATAACCCCATGATTATATTTAAATACCCATTAACCCAACTTAATTGATCACTTTAGTGGGTTATTCTGAAAGATAGCAATACACATTGATTAATCATATGTGCCCACAAATAGATTTATTAGATTAAATCCAACATACTTGGCCTTGGTGGAAGAGACCTACAGAGGTTCATGATCTCTTCAATAACTCTATTAACTTATTGCAACAAAGGACCCATCTTTCTTCAAAGTTTGAGAAACCCAGATGGAAAAAGATCACTAGAAGACTTATAAAGAGAAACCCAAATAAAAAATAAGATAATATCAACTCGTAACCTCCTCCACCGCCCTATGCGCCGTCGCCCCGAGCTCTTTCGCCTCGATCCTTATTTCCTTGTACTCCTCCCCTCCCACCATCACTCTCTTCAAAGCCCCGACGATCTCCTCCGTCGTCACCACCAACGTCCCCTTCCTGAACCCGTCGCCCTTCAAAGACATGGCCTCCTCGATCTCGAACTCCTCGCCGTTAGAGCTTCGGAGGACGACCGTCTTCTTCAAATCGTTGGCGGCCGCCATCGGGGAAAGGGACGGAGGAAAACCTTTCAAATCATCATAGATAAAAAAAAGAGAAAGAGAGAAATGGTATTATGGTCTTCACATGTTTAAAACTCTTGGGTTTTGTGTTTTGGATGCTCATGGAATAATGAATTTACTTTTGCGGGTTTTGGGAGCATTGAAAAAGTATTGGGAGGGGGTGAAATAGTTGTTAGGAAATTGGGGGCTAAAAGCAATTTCCCCTTGACTCAATGTA